TGTCCCCGTTCCCGGGGTTCTCGACGGACGTGGCGGACCCAACGGCGGTGGTGCGGTCCAAGCGGCCGGGACCCCCGCTCGAGGCGGACAAGGACAAGCAGATGCGCCAGGCGGAGGACGGCGGTGCCGGGGAAAAGGCTGACGCCGTCGACGCCGCCGCCGCCGCCGCCGCGGTCGCGGTTGTTGCCGCTGAGGCCGCCGCCGCAGCCGCAGCCGCCGCTGCTGCCACCGCCGCGGTCACCACCCTTGGGACTGCTCCTACTCCGGTGGCTGCGCCTCCGGTGGCCGCTCCAACTCCGGTAGCCGCTCCGCCCGTGGCTGCAGCTCCTCCCGTAGCCGCTGCTCCTGCTGCTGGAGTTGCTCCTCCTCCCGGAGTCGCTACTCCTTCCGCGATTTCCGCTCTGGGGATCCCACCGGCTGCTGCTCCTGAGGTAGTTGCCCCACCGACGACCACCGCCCCCGGAACCGCTCCTCCCGCAACCGTCCCCGCTGGGACCGCTCCTGAGGCCGCTCCTGCTGGAACCGCCCCCCCTGGAACGGCCACTTCTACTGTGGTTGGATCGGTGCCTATTTAAGCTAGCCCTGTCGGGGCTTCTAGCCTCGCACTGGGGAGGGAGGCGCGACGGGGGGGGGGGGGGGCGTACTAGTGTTTTTGCATGCCTTAGCGGTTAGGTGATTGCGCCATCCCTGCTCAGAGCGGAGCGGATGGGGAGGGACGTGAAGAAGGAGCTGGTGCTCGGAGATGGTCGTGGTGCCTCTGGTGTTTAGCCGGGCGTGTGTAGGAGGCCCCAGTTCCGCGAGATGCTGCCGCTTTTTTTGGAGGCCTGGAGATCTGTCTCGTTGGAAACCCGAGGCGGTTGGTTGGTGTTCGCGGTATAGCCAAGAGGAATGTGAAAAGGGAAGCATTCGCGGTGGGGATGGTATTGCTTTGATTTCTGCTGATGTCGCGTCTTAGTGATGTCTGCGAGGTATTTTCTAATTCCGCATCCGGCATTCAAATAATACTCTGGAAGGAACTGCCGTGGATGTCGTATAGTAGTCGCGAGACCGGTTTGTCTCATACCGGTCTGTCTCACCCTTCATGCACAGCGTTCCAGCGTGATAGCCGCAGTGGTAGTCTAGCTCCCGAGTCACGTTTTTGTAGGCCACGAAAGGGAGCGCTTCAGGGTTGGAGGAGAGTTGGGTCATCTCGACGTTCGTGTGCTCTCTGATATTCTGAGTCTGCGAAAAAGTGAGGTTTTTTATGAGACTGCGGGAGACGAGCGGGGGGGGGGCGTAGCTGCGACGGGTTTCGGTGTAACGAGGTAGAATTGGTTAGAGTGAGGGGCGGCGGGTATGCTTGCTCTTGTTTGAAGTCATCTGATTTGTGTTTTTAGCACGCATGCATGGTACACGTAGAATGTAACGTCCTTTTTTATTCGGGTTTGTTGTTGCAGTAGGCGTTTTTCTTTTTTTACATTTCGTCATACAACACCTGTGATAAAATGTTGCAAGAATACATGGCAACGCCGCGTTTGTACAATGCTCTTTGTCGTATACGATGGGAGTCATTAATTATCCAGCTGCCGTCCCATCCTGCGAAACACTACCACCGCTGATGTCACCATCGAAACAAGAGACATAAATGGACGTGCGCCTGTTTGATGTGTTGTTTGCCACCAACGTACCAAAGTATCGTGGACCAAGAATCCCGACATCAAGTCGAGGGTCAGTGGGCACTTGCAGTATTTAAGAGTATTGATCATTTCGATCCATGGGGTCTTCTTTTCATCCCATTTTGGAGTCTTCCGCAGTGCACACAGCAGCAGCAACAACAACAACAGCAGTCACGCCATCACACCAACATACAAACGGCGCTTGAAATAACAATCGATTGATGACTTCGACCCATGGGGTCTTCTTTTCATCGGCATGAGGTGCCCCCCCCCTCGCCAAATTGCAAGCTCTTCTCTCGAGCGAAGATCGTCACCCCTTGGGGCCAGACCGATTGACCATCGGTGATCGGTCCTGTCGGCATAGTGTTCCGTCCTCTCGAGGACGCGTGGTGGCCTCACAACTAAGGGAATGCAAAGCATGAGTACCCCCCCGCCCCGTCACGCCTCCCTCCGTCGCGCGCGGGTGGTCAAGAATGACAAATCCACCTTATTATAATGGACCAAAACACTGTGTAGTAACACTCGCATTTGACGGAGGAACCGAGGTCGTATGCACACAAGTGTTGTCTCCTTGAAAACCGTTCATTTGACGGAGGAGCCGAGGTCGTGTGCACACAAGTGTTTTGTCCTTGAAAACCGTTCCGGTCTCCGCTCAATACCTTCTAGTCTCCGTATGTATACTGGTCCAACTGACGCGAACGCCTTCTGTGGTCTCAAGCCAACTACACCCAAAGAGGGGTATGTATATACACCTTTCCAGAACGAACATACTCTGTATCGTGTACATACTTCTAGGACACAACCAGCACCTCACGCCCGCCCACAGGTGGACCACCGCCACACTGGAACACATGTACAGCTACACTACAGCTACAAATAGCATGTTTTCAACTTGACCGTTCCCCTCAACGCAATGTCACCGGCACACCTTATACACCTGAAAACAAAATTGGTATATGTACGACCAGTTCACCAAATCAGCACGGCCAGAAGCCTTCGGCTGAAAGCGTAGTCTGTTCCACAACTGTCGGTGACGTAGTAAGCTAACCCGCCTACCAGGGAACAGAGTGCGTCCGGTGACAGTGTACCTGCGTTATCCTTGCTCAATAAGATTTAGAGTTTCGTCCACAAATTTTCTCAAGTCCAAAGCGGAGACGTGGCACGGCTGTTATTGTAGCCGTATCGAACACACAATCGTATTTTTTCGCTACGCACTCTTCATGTGTAGGATTGGACTTGGCAGCTTGAGCTACCACCTGCGGCCAGCAGCGGTATTCCAGGGAGCGGTTGCTTGTATCTGTCGCCTGCATGACAGCAGCAACACCAACAAGAACATTGATTGGTGCCCGTATAGGTGAGAGGGGTTTGAGAGGGGGCGCTCAATACCACGCGGGCGGTTGTTACATCACATATCACACGACGGACTCTCATACATTTAATCTACAAGCAATAGTTACGTCGAAGGAGGGCTCATGTTTTGCACGCCTTAGCGGTTAGACCGTTGACCACGCTTCTTCGAGAATCGGAGGGCGGGGGGGGGGTGAGTACCCTGTGGTTATCAGGTAGGCAACGGCGCAGTGAGGCCGGAGTAACCGAGGGGAAAATAATCTAGACTAAGCGACGTTCGTCAGGGAACAATAAAAAAAGAAAAAAAATAATAAAACTACTACTACGTATTGCAGTAGTACAGTAGTAGTACAAAATACTTGATAGCTTGCACTTCATGTGGCCTATGGGGGGGAGGGGGGGGGGGGTTCTTCGCTGAACCCCGTATCCACTTGACCATTGACGCTGCGCCCCTTGTGAAACGGTGCATGCCATCTAAAGAAAGCCTGGCAAGGTGTGGTGGAAAGAAAACTGGACGTTCACGCCACAAACGCCTAACAAACCAGAGGCACACTAGACGGCGAAGCATGTGGCCATTGGGGGCAATAGTTAACACACATGCCTCTTAACACATGATGGCGTCGCCATAGCCCGGCCCCTACGCGTGTGTAATCCCGCAAGTCAGCCAATTTCGATGTCGGCCAAAATAGTAGTGTTACCTGCTTCGGCGACACAGCTCTATCGCTATCCTAGCGATGTTCCTGCAGTCGTCCAACCCGCTGTGGTGCCGCCCTTCCAACACCAAGCCCAGAGCAGAGAGCATGGCCGGCATGCCGCCCACCTTCCCACCACGGGGTCGGCGTTGAGACTGCCGGGCGGCTCGGTACATCACGTCCTGGGGTCAACGACGCACGGGAGCCAAGAGCCAGCTCGAAATCAGGTGTTTGGGTGGCGTTGGGTGTGGCGGTACTCGTGCACGAGGAAGCAACCGGGCGTGAACACTGCCGAGGGTAGATTACGACATATTAAGGCAGACAGAAGGAACGGCATTTAGTCGGGGGGTTTATTTCCCCGAGGGTTCAGTGAACTCGCGTTGCTCGCAGGCCCAACAGCCGCACCGTAGAAGCACCTCGGGAGGGAAAAGTCCACGCGGTTTTTCGGCATCGCACTGCTGCTGTTGCACATATGGTCGGTTGTCGTGGTCTCACCCTGAAAACTTCCTTAATGTTGGCCCAGCTGTTGAAGTGCGGAGGCACCGGGGCGTCGATGAGCTTGCACTGCGCGGGCATCATGGTCTTGAGGTCCCAGTTGCCTTATCGTTGCAGCAGCACCACCGCCATCACCGGAGGCAGAGGGAGACAGGTAGCCATGAAGAGACGCACTATTTAGTCGAACGAACACATACCCTGACTTCATTCGGTAGTGCTACTGCTGTATGTACGCGTTTTCTTCTTTGATTGCTGTGTGTAACGCAAGAAAACACGTCCCGGTGATGCGCCATTTTTTTCTTCTAAAACAGTACATGACCGGGGGTTGTCCGTCCGGGGTTGTTTGATCTGAGAGTAGTGCACATTCTTTGGGCTCAAGTTTTCTCACAACAAAATACCATCGGGTGTGGTATTGTGTGTGTGGGGTGTTGTCCTTCGTGTGTATTACCTTGGGTCGCATATACGGCATGATTCACGAAACCTTGCCCTCCCTCATGGGCAGGAGTCAACTACCCACGGGGCTCGTACTAGGCCCCAGGTCTCACCGCATGTTACGAAGAGGCACGACCGTTCTTGGCCGGGAAGGCACGAATTGCGCCGCAAGAACTCCGTGTGTTGTGAAAGCGCCTCCTCGAACAGAACTCCCCCGTCCACGGTGGACTGGTCGTCCGGTGTCACGAGGAAACGACAAGCACAACGTGGAGAAGGGTCGGAAAAGCACGCCTACTAGGTGCATATAGCAAGTGGTCGAGTGTATGTATCCGGTGAATTGACCGCCGTTGCTCAAATTACAGAAAATCTTGGTGATTCAGGTACTATGTGCCCGGTGAATCGACAGTCGTTGTTCAAAGGGACCGGCGCTATTCGAAGTACAGAAAAGCTTGGTCATTCAGTCAGTGCCCAGCATTTCACCGGCGGTATACACAGGGCAACCGGCGTATATCAGCCAGCGTTAATTTTAGGTCCCCCACTGTATCCCACCCCCAGCAGTGCCGATGAAGCGACGGAGCGCCTCCAAGCCGGACGGATGCTCGACCAAACGCAAACTCCAAAACTCTCCTTTCGATGACTCCCCGTCTCTCCTTCAAGACTTGCATTACATGCAAGAAAGCCAAGGGCTGTACATTGTAGGTCGTTTACCTTATTCGTTTATTGTGGTCGTAATTGCTGCTACCATCGTGGCAAACACACACACACACAGAGACACGATCCTTTAGCAGAAATTTCTGTTTTCGACCGCAGTGAGACTGAAGTCTTTTTCATTGGTCAGCCGGTTTAGCGCGGTCGTTGCTAACAACAAAAAAAACAATACACGCACACATCTGTCGTTGATTTCAATTGGGTTGCGGACCATTTGGGTCCGTTTGATTTGACTATACTATTCTTTTGGGTGAGTTAGCCTGTGGCCACGGGAATCGACCGCGTCAAGAGTTTGATCAGTACGCGCAGAAGAAGGCACTAGGCAGAGAGAACGGAACGGTTTTTAATGGGAAGGCAACGACAACAACAACAACAACAACGACGACGACGACGACAACAACGACGACAAGATAATCGACTCGCCACCCCAACGACGCTCTTGTGCGCGGTACAACGGTCGGGTAGATAACAACGGGCTTGGTCTTAACTCAGTGCGGTCATTTATATTTTCTTGTCTACATTAAGTTTTTTTAGTCAACTACGGCGGGGTGAACGAACGTGTTTCTGGGAGAATTGACAGGTACAGCAACGTCAGCAGCAACAGCAGCAACACCATTACCACGTCTACAAAAACCCAAACAACAACACCACCAACATCCGCTGCTGCTACACGATCTGCTGCACGTCAAACGCCAACATATATATACGTACGTGTGAGAAAAACAACAAAAACCGCCACGGTGCGCACCTGTTCTATCCCTGTCAGGCTAGTGCAGAACGGTGTGAGGATGGGGTGCCGGACAGGACGTACGTAGACGCGAAACTCGTCGAGCACTTTGAGAGAATGTGCGTCTAGCAGCACCGTCGGGAATTCGATTACTTCCATCGGTCCAAACTTGCCAACAGCACAAGGGAGGGGGTGGGTGTTATTCGCTTTCCCGTTCCATTTCCCTTTCTTTTCCCGAGCACGAACATTATCTGGCCTTGGTCGGTCCTCCTTCCCCCTTCCCCGGTGGCAGCGGCGGGGCATCCCTCGGAGTTGCATCATGCTTGTCAGGCGTGACGTTCTTCGAAGCGTCTTCGCCCGCGGTAGCAGTAGCGCCGTCAACGCGGGAGAAGTACCTTGGCTCCAGGGTGCCGTTCTTGCCGGCTGTAAAAGTGTGGACGGTGGGCCGAAACGTTGCGTAGGTTTCGGAGGCTGTTGTTAATGTCGTCCGTCATTTGTTGCAGTCATCGTTCATTGTGGTGACCATTTTTCGTTGTCGTCGTTTAGGGTTTTCGGGTATATAGTGTGGGTAAGGAGCAGGTTGCGACAACGGTCATCAGAGAGAGAGAGAGACATACATAGCGAGAAGAAAGAGAGAGAGAGCAGACAGACAGGCAGACAGACAGACAGAACAGGGTCGTATTATTATCATCATTGTTTTTCGTCGTCATCATTTGCTGTCGTCGCATCGACTGTTGTCGTGTTCGTTTGTCGTCGCCATCGTGCGCGCCCAAACGCGTAGAAAAAAAAAAACACCGTAAGCCCTTAGTTGGCAACCAAATCTTGGTGTTCGGTTGATGGCATCACGCCTGTCTACACTGCGGTGCTGCCGTGGCAGCAACTATGGGGTGTTGGCAAGGCCTGAAGCCAGCGTGTACCGGAGTCTGGCTTAGCGAATCAATGCCAGACAACAGTTGGAAATTCATGAGGTATTTGCTTGAAAAAGGCGTGTGGCGGTCGATCTTACAGGATAGGATCACGTTGTTGGTGGACCGGAAGAAGGCGACTCCGTCCGACATTGCCGCGGCCACGTCCACGTAAATCAACACCTGTGCACCAAGCAAGCGGAGCGGCAGCCCAGCGGCGGCAGCGAGAGGCACTACTTGAGTACGTTGGGGTTAGGGATAGCTTGAGTACGTTAGGGTTCAGTATCAGCGAGAGGCACCACTTGAGTACGTCAGGGGCAGGGATAGCTTGAGTACGTTAGGGTTCAGTATCAGCGAGAGGCACCACATGAGTACGTCAGGAGCAGGGATAGCTTGAGTACGTTAGGGTTCAGTATCAGCGAGAGGCACCACTTGAGTACGTTAGTGATGGGGATAGTTGAGTACTTTAAGGTTAGGGATCGGCGAGAGGCATCACTTGAGTACGTTAAGGTTAGGGATAGCTGCCACCACCCACTAACTCTATCAGATCCCACGGTAATCGGCAAGCTTCTTTCACAGCAACAAGGGACGGGATGAAGTAAGCAGTGACCGGAAACGTTTAATTGACACAGCGTTGGAGATAACAGAAGTAAGCTTTCGCTCTTGACAATAGCTGAAATGAAGGCCAACACTTGACAGCTAGCAGGGGCGAGTGGGAGCTACGATAATACCGTAAGTTGCACGCCATATCACTCCCCCTGGGCCGATTTCCAAAGCACGATTACTCCACAGCAGAAACAGCGGCAGTGCCGAAAATGGCGACCTTGGAACCATCTCGTCGAGAGCTTTCCTAAACCCACTATTTGACTTTGCCATCATCTTCGTCGTGGAGTAGTGAAACTCGGTCCAAAGGGTGTGTCAGCTACCCCGATACAGTATCGACGGCCTAACGCCCCACCTTGCAGGCCTTGCGCATGCCGCTGATGACCCCGCTTTCTCCGGGCAGCCCCGCCGCGAAGTGTATGTGTGTCCGGTTCATGCAACGGAGCCCCTCCTCTCGGATGCTGTGGACCGAGACACGCACGTCCGCAGGCAGACCGGCGGCGAAACATTGGTCACTCAATGTGGAGATCCCCTTCATATAGGGCACCCTTCACATAGGCTACTCTCATATATTTAGGATACCCTCACATAGGGTGCCCTCATATAGGGTACCCTTCATATAGGGTACCTTCATTCAGGGTACGATCTCCCAACCCCTGTCGAAGACGATCTATTCCATCCTTTCACGGTGGCAACGACGAAAAGATCCGAACTCTCGCTGGCAAAGCCCAACTTAGCACCAAGGACGTTTTCCTCGTTTCACATCAACATCGAAAGTTGCATAGTAGCGGCAACACACTTTGGGCGCATCAGCATCACGTACCAGAGGGATACAACCCACCGACCTACCCGCACTGCCCTGAAATCGATCGTCCAGCAAGCCCTTCAGCCCAAGCCTGCGAAAGGTAGCCTTCACGTTGATTGCCTACCCGTTACAATACTGTGTTTGTGTCTCCTGGTGGTCTAGCAACGATACTTCGCGATTGTTTCCTTGTTTCCTGCTAGTCTAGTAACTTCGCGATTGTTGGGGGGGAGTTGCTCTTGGGCCTCTTGTTTTCTGTTAATTGGACCTAATCTTGGGGGTAAACTTAACTATCGAAGGCCGACTCTCATCTCGGGGACGTGTCCAAACTACCCCCCCCCCCCCCCCCACCGGAAAGGTTATCCAAAAGGTAGGGGAAAAAATTTTTGAACCCCCTTTTCCCAATTTAGAAAG